AATCGAAAGTTGTTGTTGTTGTGTGCATTCGTGAGCTCTGACGTCCGTCAGATGATTGCGTTTGCTTGATTATGATGTGCAGGTATTGCTTACCTTTTTAAAAACCGCGTATCTCACATTTTCGTCTCGCGTGTTTTAACATTAAAAATAAATACGTGGTTGGAACATCAATGCACAATAATAATCGGCAACCATGATCTATCCACTGCTCGATAAAGGCCTCCCCAAATCTTCGCCATCGCTCTTGGTCTTGTGATTCAGCTGTACATCTTGCTCCCGCACGCGACGTTGTTTTTCATCGCTCCATCCCTCGGGCGCGTTTCCCTCCTCTGGCTTACACTCCCTCGTTAGTCTCGACCACCGCCCATCAATGCCTTGATATAGCGGCGTACCCAGTGCAAGTCCGCTTCCTGTTCTTACCAGGCAGGATGGTGTCTCTCACGTGCTTATATAACTGATGCTATTGTTGTTTGTAAAGGTGCGCGGCATATCAAGGTATTTCATTCTCTCGTTGAACATTTTCCACGTCGCCGGTAAAGAGGTGGCAGCACGTGGCTAGCAGCCACATCCGTGGCGAGAGCGAGATACTGGATGTGGCGTGCCGGAGTTGGGGAAAATATGTTTCTGTCCAGCTCACTAACGCGGACAGACCCGGCTGAAAAGCAAGCCCCGTAATTTGCCACTGCAATGCTCGGGTTTACAAACGTGCGCATTTTGCTAAACCCTCACGCACAAAAAAAACCGTGCAAGTTAATCTCCCCTACGACCAAACCTTTGCGCCACTCACATTGTGCAAAGTGAATCCACGAGGTTTTTGCACGTGGATGGGAGTAGCAAGAAATTACAATGGGGAACGTGCGATGCCCCCCCACCCCCTTTCCCCCAATGCTTTTATTCAGCGCAGCAGTAAGACTCACAAGTTGTTTAATGCTGGACGGCGAAATCCTCAGGCAACACTTGGGAGATATATAGAGCCATTAGCACGCACGTACAGGCCGCACTGCCCGCGCGCTCAGACAACGGCGCCAGAGGCGAGCGCGCGCGCGCGTGTCAGAGGGAGCGGTGGCGTAGTGGTTAGCGCTGCGCTGCGCCAACGTAAAACCTCGGCGGCCCCGAGTTCGATTCTCGCCCGCGGCGAACACCGGTGACGATGATCTGAACCGGTCACGGGCCTCCGCTAGGTCAATTCCCGGCCGCAAATAAGTCTCTGTTGCGGTGTGTGGTCGTCAGCACTGGGGGGGGGGGGGGGGGGGGGGAGACAAAGGGGGCCGGGAGTGGCACTGGCCATCCACCCTTTTGTGTGCCGAGTCGGTCGTACGAGGTACTCGCTAACAGCATTTGCCCGAACTGTCTCTTTAGACGATAGTGGTGGCGGCGGGGGGGGGGGGAGTTATTTTCTTTGCATGTTACTCGATGTGTATTTTGTTTTTTGTGTGTGAAGAGCGGTGGCGTCGTGGTTAGCGCACCACCGTTACGAAATGTGTGACCTGGGTTCTGTTCAATTAATGTGAACGGGTCCTGCGCCCCCCCCCCCTACCCAGGTTAACTCAGACGACTTAAATGAGTGCCTTGGTTTCGGTGTGTAAACATCAGCGCTCGGAGACCATGGCCGCCGGACGTGGTTCTATCCACACCACCCCATAGTGTGTGCCGTTTCTGGCCTTAATAGGTGATCGCTAACAGCACTTGACCCCCACTGCGCGCATCTCAAGCACGTGTCATAGCAACCTGCGACTCGCCTACTCAATACCTAAAACATGAGGGTAACAGTCGTCAATGTGTCTATGTGTATTCTCTACAGATGTAGCCTGTATTGATGTTGTACAACGTCTGTCCCATGTGTGTCTGTCCCATGTAAATATGTCTATACAGTGATAGTATGTGGGGAGCCATAGGGCATTGGTTATCGCATCGCGCTTCGAACCCGGTGACCCGAATTGTATTCGCGCACCATAGCACACATTGGTGACGAGTATTTCAACTGGTCCTGGGACTCCCGTAGGTCGACTCAGCCTTAAATGAGTACTTGATGCGATGTGTAAACATCACCACTTCGGGAGACAAAGGCGGCCCAGCGTGGTGTTGGCCACTCACCCCCTAGTTCCCCTTTCCGACCTTCATAGGTGCTCGCTAACAGCGATAGCGCCCCAACAGTCTGTTCAGGCGAAACGGGATATCTTTCTAGACGAGTATATATGTGGATGCATAGATCACTTGTGCGTGTGTATGAGTGTATGAGCATATAACCGTGTACAGTATGTGAATGCACGTTCCAGTTGAATCCTACTACATACAGTATTCAGTGCACCAATTGGCACGCGCGAATATTTAAACAGCATGGATGCCTAAGTGGTTTCTCAGTTCAGAGGTAAAGGTGCAGCCCCTGCAAGGCCACTGCTGGCTGAAGGGCATCCACTAAATGGATCTCTAGGGGGCATTCGTCCACACTGGCCAAGGCGTACCCACACTTTACCCCACCACACGCGGCCGAATGATTGACTCGACTATTATATTACTATGTTATAAAGTAAGGCTCTCTGAGCTATATAGCTCATTTTTACGAAGCGATCTGGCCACAAGTGATAGTTCAAAGAAGTGGCTTATCGCGTGTAAATGTATAGCAGCCGAATAATATAGACGCGTGACGTTGATTTTAAATGTGGATAGAAAGACCGGAGGACCCGGAGAAAAATCCACGCGACCACGGGGACAACATGCAAACTCCAAATATACAGGCGTCAGGGTCGGGATCGAACCCACAACCTCCTGTATACCAGGCGAGGTAATTAACATCTGGCCCCCGTGGTACTGGGTGGACGGAGGCGAAGAGATTTCAGAAATGTGCCCACTGCTCCCACTGCTCCCACTGCCGCGCTAGGCCATGGAACCGAAACGGCGGATTCTGGGTCGCAAGTCCAGTGCGCTACCTGTTACACACCAAGGCAAGCCGCCGTTTTTTTGAGTAAAAAAATAAAAAAAATATGAGGTTCGTTGCCAGACATGTTTGTATTTGTAGCAAACAGGTAACCGGTTTTTGACATATTTTTTTGTACCGTGCGGTTTTTGGTAACGTAAAGAAACCGACTTTAACAACCCTTATCACGTATAGAACATCCGGTAATACGTACCGTGTTATTGTTTTGTGTAGGCCTATATACGCATTATCTGTCATTGTGAACCGTACGACCACAAGTACTGAATCCAAACAATACGAAGAGTAATAGGCACGGACATGGTTAAGATAAAATGTCATTGTTTTATTCATAGGATATGTCTTGACCCCTATCGGAATCGAGTCGCTATTACAATCTGTAATGAAGCGTTCTCAAAATACACCTTTAACAAACACACGCTCATTAGAACCCAAATATACTGCGATGTGATGGTCGCTTTTTCTTATCTTCCATTTTGCTGAAAGAACTTTGCCCTCAACATATTCCATTACATATACATGTACCGACTTAAACACAGTCGCGACAGTGTACTCGTTCGTGTTATTAACGGTATAGCGTGACCTATCACTGTTAATGCCATCATTATAACTATTAAGATAAGTGGGTCTTGGGCCGGGCACGTGGGATGAAGAGATGAATGACACTGGACGAGAACGCCGACTTCGTGGCAGCCGAAAAGAAAATGGAACGAGGGTTCGACGGACTGGCCGCCTACCGAAGAGTCGGAACGATTGAACCAGCTCGCGTGCGGCTGATTAGGTGAAATTTTTTCAATATTATCGCGGGATCATTATGGATAGCGGCGGCTGGAGAGGGAGGCCTTCATCCAGCAGTGGATTGACCATGGCTGCTGCTAATGTTGATGATGCTGAGTGTGGCCAATATGAATGCCAATGTGTGTACATGTAACAGTATAGACGAGTGTTCATTTGGCGACTGCACAACGTGTTTTTTTTTATTCTTGTATACTCGGTGCAAAGAGTGAATAAAGAATAATAATAATGATGATGCTGCCGCTCCTGTGCAAATGCCATGGAGTTGAGTACGAAGGTGACGATTCATCATCTCACGGTGCACACGATGCTCACGATCGCCGATGCCACGAGCAGTGCACTCTGGGTACAGGCGCGTGTAAACATTTGCATGATCCCGTGGATTTCAGGCATTGCACAAGCCGACGCAGGAGTTTTGGATGCCGCCGAAATTGAACGTGCATCGTGTGTAACGGAGAAATGACGGGTCCTCTATTAGTTGAATAAATGACTTTGTTACGGGTTTTTTTGGTAAGACGATCATTCATACGACTGTGCACGTGATCAGAGACGGGAGCGGTGGTGCAGTGGTCCGAACTTTGCGCTCTATTCTCGGTCACCGTTAACATCAGTGGGCGAATGTATATATGTATGTATGCACCGGTCCTTCCCCCCTCCCCTCCCCCGTCTTCACCAATTCACACCGACCAAAGTGGTGAAGTACGATCAAGACCCAGCGGTGGATTGATAAGAGGGGCTGAAAATTATCGTTACGATATTCAATGTCATTATTACAACAACACACTCAAGAACCGTCACATGAACGCAGGCCGATACCGTTTCAGATCGGTTCCTTTCGGATTTCCCCTTCCAAAGCAAATCAAATTGAACGGAATAAATAAATAGTTTCGCCTGCGCGTAATTCACATCCTTAAAACGACAACATCTTCACAGCTCAAGGCAGTTGACTGGAAAAAAATATATATTCCCGAATAAACCGAGCCTCCTCTCCTGGTAATTCAGCATTTTTACAAACGCGTTCCTTTGTTTAGAATATGCGCATACGACAGTGGTTCCCAAACTTTTTGGTATGGACCCCCCTCCCCTCACCCTCCCCCCCCCCAATCAAGACCACGGGACCCCATGCGACGCCGCAGCCTCACACTTGTTTCATGGTGTCGATTGTTGTGGCTTGACGTCGCAACGTTCACGTTTCTCCGCGCACATTCAGCGTTTTGTCCTGCACGGTATCTGTGCCGCAGCCTGCGCACACCCCCCCCCACCCCACCCCGGTTGAGAACCAATGACATACAGTATATGCACAAATACAGTATTATTCAGTGTATGTACATATGTAGTACAGTATGTAGACTAAAATTTGCAGATATATAATTTTCGCACATGTTGTACTGCACTATGCCCTCACTTGTATGCTTCTTCCCGCTTTCATCAACTCTGCACTGACCAGCGCGGTGAAGTGCGGCCAAAGAATAGGCAGTCATCCAGCAGCGGATGGACAAAAAGCTGCAGTACACAGTCGTGGAAATCATACAAGAGTGATCGATTTATAGCTACCCCACTAAAACAATGGAGACACGTTACATTGATAAAAAAAACAACAACATTACATTTCAAAGCCTCTACGCGTCTCCCATCAGACTCAACGACACACTTAGTACATCTGTTAACACTCTGCAAGATACGGAGCCATCGCTTTCGCAACAACATTCGATCACCTGTTGAGAATCGGGCGTCATTACAAGTCAGTGGGGTATCCACAAATGGATCGCGTCTGTATCACCTCGCACACAACTGACGATGGGGGTTCGCGTGAGTTTTCGACGCTGTCTCGTCGTCTGTCAGTCTCGCTGTCCGGGCGCGCACTCATCCGCAAGCACGGGGGCACGACTGCCGACGAGACGCACAAACGTCGAAGAAACCGCATCAGACGTTTGCTTCGCTTCAAAACGAATTCTGCTGCTGCTGCTGGACGATTAATAACATTGGTCTGAAAAGCCAACGACAGGCTGACGGACTAAAACGTATCATTACCACACTCGTATATGTGGCGACGGAACAGAGCCCTCTGCTTCTACACCCACACCCCCAACAACAACGACAACGCGTGGTGAGCAACGAGTTTTGTCCACACTCTCACTGCATGAGGCCCGAGCTGCTGGCGGCGTAGGGCATCGCGAAGTGTGTCAATGCACCGCCGGGGTAGTAGAAGGGGTAGGGGAACGCGAGCGGGGCTCTGACTCCTCCCGCGGGAGCCGCTCTCCCGTGCAAGCCCCCTTCCCGGTAGAGCACGGGCACGCGCACGAGTCTGTGCGCCGCCGACACCTGCGCCAAGTTGGCGGCCTCGAGCTCGGCGGCCAGCTGGCGCTTCCACTTGTTGCGCCGGTTCTGGAACCAGATCTTCACCTGCGTCTCGGTGAGGTGCAGCGACGCGGCGAGACCCGCGCGCTCCGCGCTGCTCAGGTAGCGCTTCATGTCGAACGTCGACTCCAGCTGGAACACTTGGCTCCGAGAGAACACGGTCCGCGTCTTCTTCTTGGGGGGCGCACGCGGGCTGCCGTGCTGCGGGGGGCTCTCGCAGGCCCTGTCCCCGCTCACGACGATGCCGCCGCCACCGCCGCCGCCGCCGTCATCGTCGTCGTCGTCATCGTCATCATCGTCGTCATCTTCGTCGCCGCCACCAACAACAACAACGTGGGGCGCGGTTGTCCCGTTTAACCGAGGCGCGGTTGCCGACAGCGCCGGCGGAGTGTCGATGACGATGCTGCTGCTGCTGTTACTGCTGCGCGGCTCCGTGTGCGCTGGGGAGGTGACGTGACCGGCCCTCGCCTCCTGATGCGGATGGTGATGCGGCTGCTGCGGCTGCTGCTGTAGTTGGGGTTGGATCCTCTCCTGAGAGACGCCGTGCCCGGCCAATGCTCGCTTGGCCACTTCTGCAGACAAATACACGAGCGGTTGAAGCCGGGACTCGTGCGTGTCGGGACTAATTATACACAGCACGCTTACGCTGAGAACACGCACGCGCTCAGCCTTGCGTACTGTGGTTAAAAATAGATGATAATATCAGTTGCTGTGAATCGCAGCGGTGAGATGATAAATAGATCCATCAATAATTACAGCCCTGCCTATAACACCAACACCGACAATTTGGGGGTATATATATGGAGCGTCTTACTACACTGGTATCTCAACGCGCTTTACATAAACGAGGGGCAAATATTCCGGAAATAAGCTTAAATGTGCAGGGGGCAACCAAACGTGTTGTTAATCTCTGCGAGATGTGTTCAACAGTGGCCGCACGATGGGGAGAGACATTTGAATGTCACGCAAATTCACTTCGCCATCTCTACACCGACACGTTGACTCGGGGTCCTGGATAGGCGAATGGTCAGTTCTGAGCCTTGAAACGGCAAGAGCAGCAACATCCAGAGCTATTAGTTTGACTGTGTATATGTACATGTACATAATAAATCCTCAGCAAGTTAAATATTGTTCTAAAATAAAAGTCACATTTCCTGCATATCTGTTTGTACAGAAATATATTAAAAATGTCACGTTCGCATGATTTGAACATGCGATTTTAGTATTGTAATTGCATTGTTTCCAATGCTCTCATGAAATTAACCCGTTGGTGGCGACCCTGTTCAAGTGAATATTATCTCTGTTAATATTGGTTTAACATAAATAAATGGGTATTAATGTTTGCTATACAATACACAACAAACAAATCGCCACATCTCAAGAATATTGTAAACCTATTTTTTCCGTAAGACTTCCGCAACGTAACTTTAAATAGAAATTCTACAAATTGTAATATTCGTGTGTGGATTATGTTCAGGATAATATTAAAGAATATACAGATGTTTAGCATGCTATGCGTGCATATAGATTCATGTGCATATACAAACACGCTCACATGTCATATGGGTGCAATATGCGTTTTTTCTGAACTAACCAGCGTGTCCAAACATTCCCTACGACGAACGAAAGGCGTCGGGGGAGGTCTTCATCCAGCAGTAGATAATTTGTCATTGCTGTTACAAACCGCGTGAAGTCTCTGTGTATACGGTAATTGTATTCTATGTACAATTATATATATACATACAGTGCTGTATGTATACAAATAACTTCATAGCCGACTCGCATGACATTACTTAGATACTTATAGGTCTGCAACGCGCGCGTGTTGTTTAAATGGGACATCGTGGGAATACCGTAACCACGCAGTTTAATCTGCTTGTCAGTTTCAACACCGCTCGATGCCAAACATCGTACCAAGAACGCAATGAGTTAGCCAGTTTTTCATCGGCTTTTGCGGCACACTCCACGGGAGGTGAGATTCTTTGGAACGCTGATAATGCGATTGCGTTCAGCGCGACTTTGAAAGGCAGTGGAGATCTTCGGACTGAGTCTGCGCTACAGACCAAGCCAATCAACTTCCGAGCCGTCATTTTTCTGGGCTGTCAAAATTCCAACATTTTGGTATTCGGATGTGCGGTATAGTTTCTAGCACATCTTCAACATCATTACAATTCTAAATAACACCTCGCTCAGCATATCAACGAAATCACACGAATTGCGTCCAATCTCGCAGACTAAAGCTGAAGTTGAGCCTGGAACAGCGCTTGGATGAGTGGCCAGCGTGCATGATAGGTTATTACGTGGTGAGCAGCCAGAGGGCAGAGCAAACACAATCCCTTATTGTACTGTACTTGCTATGTCTCACGTCTATTCCCACCGCCTCTACCAAAACCCACTGACCAGGTTGGTGACAAGGTAGAGTCCGATAGCCGCTGCGCCCTGCACAGCAGTCGAGATTTACAGCCGATGGCTGAATACGCGCGCGCGTTCACTGGCGAAGCCTCGACGCGACTACTCAGTCACGTCGCGTTACAGACATCGACAGCGCAAACGACAACGAACAACAACGCGGGCAAGGTGCGTACCGTGGCAGCAAGCGATCTGGTGTTCCTGCAGCCAGCAGGCGACTTTGCGAGACCCCTCCAAGGGCTCAGAGAGACGGGAAGAGCTCGTGCGATGTCGATCCTGAGCCACTGTGGCGGCGGCGACGGCGGCAGCGGCGGCGGCGGCGCCCCCTCCCGGAGCCTGAGTGGCGGCAGGGGTCCCCCTCCTCCTCCCATCCGCGTCGCTCTCATCCTCGCTGCCGCAGTCGCTCCCGTCCGTCTGGGCTCCCAAGATGCATCGGATGGTGAATTTGGAGAGCGAGTGACCTGGCCTCTTGGCCGCGTTTTCCCTGGGCTCCATGCGTGGTATCGCTTCCTCCTTTTTCTCTCTCTCTCTCTTATGTACACACGGACGATGCGGCCGCGTGTTTTTGCTACGTCGGCTTCTTACTATCACAACAATCGCGTATGCATACGCCCCGTGTGGCGCTCTTTTTTTTGCTCAAGAAGTAATTATTACACGCACGTTCGGGTCACCCCCTTCCTTCCTCCCTCCCTCCCTACCCCCCGCAGCTGTTTCGCTAACCGCTGCACATTGTGCGCCGCGGTTGCAGCGACGACGCGGCGGGCGAACGCTCACGACGCCGAATTCCCACCCGCGACGGGAGGTTTTTTTTGGTCGTTAAATATTGAGAACCCCGTGACGTGTCCACATGCCAAAGTGTGGAGGAGGCTTTGCGACGCTTCAAACCCCGAGCGAGATCTCTCTACGCGTCGACGGATTCGGTCCGCGCGTCCCCGTTTGTTGCGCGCAGCGCGGGCGTTACGCCGCGCGCGCGGTTTTTTTGTTGCTGCTGCTAAACGCGAAGTTACGGACGAGCAACAGCCGCATTCGCAAGAAAAATGGGAAAGTAGGAAAGTATAAATAAATACAACTTGTTTTAAAATAGCAGGGCCGCACCAGCCGGTATATAGCCCCTGACCAGAGGTCGAGCTTTTGACGAGTGGCGCATGATAGCGGCAGTGAATCAATCCACAACGAGACCTGTTTACCCCCCTCCTCTCTCCCTCCATCATCCTCCTCCTCCTCTACCACCACCCCCTGTACCCACCACCACCTCCCCCCCCCCACGTACCCCCTCTCCCATCTACCCACCCCTCCCCCTCCATCCTACACCAACACTGGCTTCACCGCGTGCACGTCGCTTGCCTCTCGCGCGCACTGGGAGAACACCGCTCGCCTTGTGACGGGTCACTGCACCAGACCAATCCTTTCGAGCTTACAGGCTTTTAGTTATTGAGATAATTACACGCGCAGCGCTATATATATGTGTGAGTTGCGGGCATCGTTTTATATTAAGCGGCAACTTTTATCCAGCAGTGAATTGATCATGACTAAATGATATCATGACTAATGATATGCGTGTGTGGATGTAAGAGTGTCAAATCATGTGGAGTTTACAGGCATTTCGTTAACGAGGTCATTACACGCGCAGCTCTATAAACTCGTGCGTATGTGAGTTGACTCGGCGGATGGTCGCATAGGTGGAGACGGCCTGCATCCAGCAGTGGATTGGTCATGGCTGAAGATCATGACGATGCCGTGTGTGCGTTAATTAAAGAACATGGGGAGCAGTGGTTTAGCGTTTAGAGCGCTGCGCTACGAACCTGGTGACCCGAGTTCGGTTCCGGCTCACGGACCAAAACCAATGACGATTAACTAAACTGTCCTGTGCCTCCCCTAGGTCGACTCAGCCTCAAATCCGTACCTGGTGCAATGTGCAAACATCACCACTGGCGAGACAAAGGCGGCCGGGCGAGGTGTTCACCACCCACCACCTCGTGTGCCGTGCCAGCCTTCATAGGTGCTCGCGAACAGCACTGCCTAAAATGTCTGTTTAAAGTTATATGGGGGATCTTCGCTTGAATGAAAGGGCATAGAATGCGTATTATACATATGTGTATTTAAAATGTGTGCAATGCGTATGTGATATGCAGTAATACACTGCTTTGAAAATTAAATTAGTAGTAATTAATTTGCAGGCCTTTTGTCAATCCACTGCTGGATGAAGCCCTTCCGATCCATGTTGGTCAGGTAAGGGGGGGGTTAATAGCGTACTTGACCACTCTGGTCAGTGAGACAGGGCCAGGACCCTTTCAGATATCACTCACCACTGATGTTAGCCGTGGCCGCGAATCTAACTCAGGTTACCGAGTTCATAACGCAACGCGCAAACCACTGCACCACCGATTTTCCTCTATATATGTCGGTGTGTGAATTACTGGAATACAGTGGTACAAAATACAATTATTAAAACATGCACATTCCTCGTAAATGTATAGTTAACATAGTCGAGACACTGACTCCAAAGCAGTAAGTAACAAATTCACGCCAATTATTCGTTTTGTATTTTAGTAAAGTGATCATGGTTTTTTTTGGATCACCAAATAAAGTGAAGCATTCGTAATATCGCTCAAGTTAGAAGTCAATTCCATTGCGGTAGATGGCCGGCGGCTTTGAGAGGCCTTCATCCAGCAGTGGATTGGTCGTGGCTGATTGTGACATTGCGCCATATTTGGGTAACAAAACAACATCACGACACAAGCTCGTATTCGTTACCGGTATGCGAGTGAGTTATTTGTACAAAATGTCTCTCCACCTCTTAGCAATCGACCGCCCACGGCACGCAGTCATGTACACACGGAGTGTGACGGTTCTAAGGGCGAACCGGTATGGACAATGAATACTGCGTCTTGTTATGAATGTGATCTCGTTAAAAAAAATTGGTACGTGTGTTAACGTGATTAGATATTCTTTCCCTGCGATGCAAGGAATTAATTTGACGTTGTGGCCGAGTGTCCGTTAGGTCAAGAGGATACGTCTTCATTCAAGTGTCGTGGTTGTGATTTCTCACGCATCAGAAATTATTTCAAAAACGTCGGCTCTTCCGTTCCAGGTCAACGCGATCGTTGAAGTGCGTTATTTGTATGATTTATATTTCCAGAAAGACGCGTATACTAAAGCAAATGTACCCATGTTAAATCATTTCAAAAGCCACGAACGCGTGCGTACTAGCGTATATTTTTCCGGCGATGTAAATTTGACATTTCAGCGTGCTTTATGCGCCCTATAAACTGAGAGCTCACGGCGAGAGCATGTCTCGTTCAATACAAGTGAGACTAGTATAAGTTGCGCGCGGCTAGCTCTATAATATTCCACACGCACAGCCAAAGCGAACCGAGACATTCACGGGTTAGTTAAACGGAGAAATACAACGACGCCGCGATTACGAAAACTGAACTCAAGGGGTACCGCGTTATAAATGACGTGGTCGCTCCGTCCATGATGCGACCACGAGTCAGCTCACCGCCCCGCGTGAGACCACGAAGACCTTGCGTGATCGTGATCCCTTCAGCGTCCACAGCTGGATGACGACCTCCCCCGAGCTCGTGTGAGTCGTGGGCCAATGCGAGGATTTGCCGATGGCGAGGATGCATAGACGCGCAGTACAACAATTCTTCTTGCACTGCCCTCTGCTGCGAAGCACGGCCGTATACAACAGCCTGGCGTGCATGCATCGCGGTCACATATAAAGGCTCATAGAGATACACAGATAATCATACCCACATAGATATATAGCTACGTATTAAAGACACGCCACAGTACTGCGAGTGTGGCAATGTAACACAAACTATGGATCGTTTTGTAACCCCACAGAGATTCACGGAGATATGAAGAGAATAATGGAGACCCATAGAGATACATCGATACATATTAAAGACACGCCACAGTACTGCGATTTTGGCCATTCAACTCAAACTTGACCATACAGTACAACCGCTGTGGTCTTCGCTCCATCGTCGGAGGAGGAACAGCCAAAGTGCGCCAACTTTATCTCCCGAAGCCCTCTGGTGGCTGGCAGACATCGACATTGGCACGCAACTCGTGAACGCATTGCTGCTATACGCAAGAGGAGAAGTCCATCCATCGTGTGGGCTCAAACTTTGCTTAGCTTCCGTCATCAGACGAGAGCGGAGCACATTGCGGGAGATGTGGGCATAGCGAGGCCGTAACTATAATAAATATTGAAATATGCTCAAAATGTCCTCCCCAATATATTGCTATATAATAGATTTCTGTTTATATTATCGTGGTTATGGTTGTACTTTATTAATTCCGAATCTCTGCCATTACATACAATGAAACAAGAAAAGGTAAAAAAGAAAAAGCAGAAATGTAATACAATACACTATTAGACATTACTGTAAAAAATATTTTTTTAAAGTCCATCCCATGTGTTAGTGATTTTTTTTAAAAATATTCTAGGCAGGAAATGGCAGGAAATTCGTTTTAAAATTTAGATTTTTTTTCTGGGGGGCAGGGGGGGGGGCCCAGACCCCCTGGAAGATTTGGTCCCCCCCAATGTTGACTCCATGGCTACGGCCTTAGGGCATAGGTGCGGTGATCTCTCCTCGGTGGACTCAGTCGTTTTCTCCGGCGCAAGACAACCCTGTGTGTCAGCAGCCACCGTCACCTCCGTGGAAGAGAGTATGCGTCCACAAGTATATTATTGAAGCACTTTAACTCATCCTTACCCATGTATCGATAGTTCAATTTTAAAGTGCAACTGTATTGAGGGACTGCGTGTTATCTTGGTGTAGTCTGGGGCTGTTTTTGCTGTTGTTTTTGCGACCTTGCCCAAGCTTGAAAATTGCTGTGCTTATGCAATTTGAACTTAGAGTATATAATTTATCTATTTTACGTATTCAATTGTGATTTACTTACTACTACTATATACTTTGCACTGTTAATGTTGTTGTATTGTTTGTCGCTGTAACTTTCTGACCCATCCCGACTCGGCACCTGTGAAAAAGAACTTCATCGCTCATCGGGTTTCTCCATGGATAAATACATATTATCATTATTTTGATTTCGATACAAAAAAATAACAAACGATTATTTAACAACAACAACAACGAAACTAACAACCTTACGGCGGATAGAACAGCTGGCAATTTTGACTCGCGTCCCGTGAAAAAGTCTGCGTGTGCGGCCGACTCGGCCTCAAATGCGACGTGTAAAACATCGCCACGAGGGAGACAAAGGCGGCCGGGCGTGGCGCTGGCCACCCAACCCTCCTCGCGCATTCCGAGCCGGCCTTCGTCGGTCCTACTCGCGAGCAGCACTTGCCACCAAGAGCCCAATGAAGCTCAATCGGCGAGCGTTGTATTTGTCTTGCAGAAAATTAACCCATAAAAACAAAGTTTTCACTATAAATCCTTTATATGCGTAGCGGCTAGATTCCTCTTGTCCACTGGCTTGAGATGACTGCCACCTATGGGTCAGATGATTGCCTGCCACCATTAAGCAATTGGTAATTAAATATATATTTTTTCCTATTGTCACGCACAACGAGTCTGTGTGCAAAATGTCAGCTCGATTGGATCACGGGAAGTGGGTTAAAAAACGACCGAAAGATTTGCACGGTCGTAAGCGCGCAAGCAAGCAAGCAAGTGAACTTAATATAAAGGATTTAAAAACACACACGCAGGCAGCCGTGCCACCACGGCGCAGCGCCGCGTTAACGTTACGCGCAGGCGGTACAACTGCGTCGAGGCCCACGAGCTGCTGGAGGGGTCCGGGAAGCGAGGCTACGAAGAGGGGGGTGTGAGGGTGCGGGACATTCAACGGCGATTCTTGCCAACTCCGCGTCGCTCACTGCACAGAGGCGGTGTCGCTTGGGTCGTCCAACACGAACTTGAAGGTCCGGTAGTAAAACGTTGTTGGGGGTGCTGGGGGTAGGGGGTGATAGGGGGGAGGGGGGTTAGTACCACAGGCGTGAGCGATAAACCAGCATCGCTGCGCCGTCCTACGAACGGTGTGGGACTTCTCCCCGCCGAGATGGTAACTCCCTCGCCTCGTATACAGGAAGTTGTGGGTTCGATCCCGACCATGACGCCTGCATTATATTTGAGTGTGCGTGTTCTCCCCGTGGTCGCGAAGATT